CTTTGAAAAGGTTACTGTTTATGTAGATGAGGGTAAGGGTGTATCTGGATTTTCAGAAAGCCTTTGAAAAGGTGCCACATAAAAGGCTTGTAAATATGTATACAATTATACATGAAACACACCACTAGTGTTATATGTCAAGTAAGCAGGTAACATATTTTGTTGTTTGTATGTTCCTGTGTTTCTTTCATGAACAACAATGGTTTCCAAACTTTTTTCACTAATGATACCTTCACTTACCTTGGTTTGTATAAAACCCTTTGCCACATAAAATATTTTTTGTAGAACGTTTTTTTATGTTCTTAATTATTCCTCACTTAGTGAAACTCACAACACCCCGAGCAACTTGTCATGACAGTTTGGAAACAACGGGGTTAGAAAGTTTAATATATAATTTTTATTAAGTTCACTATTTTATTAAAAATTCTAAGAACTTACAAGTGAAAGAATGTACAAGAACACACTATATCTGCTATATCCAGTGCTGATGAGACCTTTGGCCTCATCAGGCCAGCTAGGATACAGCAGACACAGAAGATGTTAAAACTTTGGATTTTTGGTTTAGTATACAGATTTAGGACTAATCTAAATCTCCTAAGAATGTTTTACCTCATGAAACATTATTATGATTATGGCTAAAAACAGCCCTAACAGTAACAGTGAGGGTACCAAACTAACGAAATGATGCAGTCTAATCTTTATAAGAATGTCAGAACAGTATACTTGATTAGCTATACGAGTTGATTTTCAGCAATTAGTTAGCTAGCTTTGATGATAAATTAACATTAATAACCCAATCCTAGCACACCCTTTAATTCTACTTTTATTTTGTTATAGTTTTGTTTACTGTTCATTTACTACCCCTTCCTTCATTTAGTTCAACTATAAATTTTTGGTTATATTAAAGCAGTAACTCACCTCATAGCTAAAACATGTTGAATTTGGGTGTGTATGTATTATGAAACTGACACAAGTTTCTTCTAGAGGTGATAAGCAGCTATTAATATTATGAAATATTATGTAAGTTAGCTAGTCATGAGATGTACCTCTGTGATCTAACCACTAAATAAAACCCCTGGTTCAAGCTTAAGTAAGTTGGTTTACAAGATATAATTCAAACAAATTACTGATTGTGAAGTATTTCAACTTGAAATATTTTTTATTTGTTTTTGGAAAAATTTTGTTTTATTTGGTTCTTTTTTCCTGATTCATTTATTCATTGAAATAATTATTAACATTTATAATTATATTGTATTGTTCATAATGCTAGTATCAATTCCTGGTCAGGCACAGATTTATTAACTGTGTTTTTGGTAAGTAATAAACTTTACATTCCAACTGTTTGTTTTGGATTTCTGTGGTTGTCGAAGTTTAATAAATTTGTTTAACCCTGGTTTTAATTACCATTTTGTTTTAGTCTATTACAATTAATTTTTACTATTTAACCAATATATCCATCCAGTGATTTTATGAATTACAATTATGCTACTTTACAGTTTACAGATTAAATTGTAGATAAATCTACTACTAAATATCTTTATTTACTAATACTAGCAACCACATCTATTACGTACCCCAAGTCTTTAGTGGCATAGGACTGATTGCTAATTTAAATAATTTACTTATGAATTTATTAAACTCACATTATAACAATGATTTTGCCCTGTCTTTTCATTGCTGTAATAATACAAATCCCAATTATCCATTGTTTTTTATATTTATTTTTTCTGAGCAGTATGTAGTTGTCCATACAAGTCCACTAGGGCGAACCTAAATGAAAATGAAATCATATACAAATTTCTTAACCATGGCTGCCGCCCAGCGCTGGTAAATTGTCTTTTAACTGAAGCGTACAAATTGTATCGTTAGTACCACTCATTAATACTTAAGTTATAATAACTCAAAATTTGTAGATCACATAAACGTAATAAAAAATATAAAAGCAGCCTAACCTGAACTACAGGATATACCTGTAAACTAATAGTAATAGTCCAAAAACATTGACTACAATCTAGCTGCCTTATATTTTTCTGAGTGTTTCACAAATTTCAGTCACATTTAATCATAATGGTTGATAGAACCTCGTATTAACTTTAAGTTTTTACTTGAATTTAAAACTGTTCAAGTTAAAATTGATATAATAATTTTAACATTAACACCCTAAACATTCACTGATTCAGTCAGACAATAGTTTCTATACTATACTATAATATATATATGGTTCAAATATGTTATTTCTATTAAATATTTGTTCGATGGATTACTACGCCTCTGAGTATGGCTATATTCGTTTTAACTTTTAAGTTGTGCATGTTTCCAGTAGCTATATTAGGCTTAAAAGTTAAAAATAGCATAAAAAACTTTATAGTTCTAAAAAAAGTAAAACTAAAAACTATTTTGTAAAAAATAGGCCTCTGTAACAGTGTAAACTTGCGTATGAATAAAAAAATCCCAATTACCACAAAATTAGGCAAGCAACAATGAAAAAAAAAAAAACGCGGGACAAAACTTTTAATAAGCAAATATTATATCTTACGCAAAGACAAGATTAATCGTTGACGTGTGCCAACCTGTCACTTCCTTTCTGTACCTTTTTTATCCGATATAACGACTGCCTGTTTTATTAATTGTTTATCTTTTTCTCAGGACAGAGGAGGAAGGTTACTGAAGATACACTAATTTTTACTTTAACACTTGGAATAAAATTTTCACAATGAGTATAAATATACTTATATACGCAACACTTTTAACTAACTTTATCTTTTATCAACTATAAATCAAAATATTTCTGGGGAGTATGTGTATGCATGTACTTTATAGCAAAGCCAATCAGGCGATCTGCTACGTCCAGCGAGGGGAATCGAACCTCTCATTCTAGCATTGTAAATCTGTAGACTTACCGCTGCCGCACCGGGGAACATATTAACGTTAGACGATTATGGCTAAACGTAGAAAAAAAATTTAATTCCTAGCATTTTTCAACTCTCTCACTTTGTAAATTATCCAAGTTGTTTCATATTAAAATAGTTCGTTGAGTTGGCAAAAAAAAATCCAAAACGCGCAAGGATCGATACTGGGAGGTGAGATGAGAATGAAGTGTTTGCCATTTCATTACAGTAATTGTAAGCACTTTTTAAGCTATTAATTGTAGATTTTATTCAATGTAGAAAATTAATGGGAAAATGTATACACTTCAAAAACCACTTATTGGAAGGTAAGGACAGCTAATTATGTGTTCTCTCCCCTCCTACTATTAGGCTAGTAATTTAAGTCAAATATTTCTGAAATATTAATTAAATAGATGGAGTACCTATCCCCTGGAACGAATTTATGTAAATTCATGATTAATGAAAGGTTATCTTAGGACATGAAAAGTTGCTTCCCTTATACGAGGGATATGTAATTGTAAAAAACGCCCATAAAAACTACAAAACACAAAATGTGAAACAGCAAATTTGCGCATGTCTCCCCATGGACCTAATGAACCTCCATACGAAATTTGGTGAAGATTCATCAACAGGGAGCAAATTAATGGTCAAAAATGCCTATAAAAACAGCAAAACTGAAAATGTGTATGTTTCTTTCCATGGTCCTGTTACGTATCTTCTTGTTTGGTAATTTCCGGTATAATTTCTTTCAGATGAACTTCAGCGATACAAGTCGTTTTTTGATTAAACCAGTTTATTATTTCTCGATACAAACTTTTAGTACACGGTAATTCCACTGTCAGACGTTTCTCGTCACTTTAAACTTAACAACTTTTATAATACACGCTATAAATCACGGCGATTCACAATCTCGATAATTTTGCCCGAAATTTACCGTGACTATTGTTCATTTTACCATACATTCATCTTCCCCAGGCTTATATACTAAAAAAAGGGGGCATCTCGAACAAACTCGGGCTTACCCGATAATTCATGATCATTCGAGAAATTCATCACATGTTACTAGCGTCACGTGACTTCCACTGTCGTAACACTGCCCCTTTCTTAGTATTGTTCGTCCCGGACAATAGCCACTTACGTTAAACCAATAGATAATTAAAAATAACTTAATTAAATGTACAGAATTTATAAACACAAAATTAAAATTCAACAAAGTCTCTTAATTTTATGAAACGTATCTTCTTCCGTACTGGTCTCCTTCTCGTTGGCTTCTGCTTCACGTGGGGTTCATCTGCTCCATCAAGAAATGTCCTATTATCGGTAACAGTCACATCAGTGGCAGTAACTTCATCAAGGGCTTCACTGTTTTCCTTCTCAAAACCGGGTAAGTTTCTTCTTCGACAGTAGCTTTTGCAGGTGACACATCTTCAGTGGCGTCATTTGTTCTGCTGTCCATTTCGTTCCAACTGAAAGGTCCTGGACTGTGATAACACCAAAGTCTGTTGGCATGCACCACCATTGGTTTACCTCGCCGACCACATTTTACCCGGAAAGACACGTCTGAGAGACGATCCACTGTGTCATATGGGCCTTCCCATGGAGAAGACAACTTAGGAGATTTCCCTTTGGTCTTCCTGGGATTA